TTTTATACCCTATTGTCACCTCCATTTTCAATTTCACTTTCACTTTTATTTCTATTTTTATAGATCCATCTATTTTTTTATGACAAATGTGACCTAATTTCTTCTGCTAACTCAAACGAAAGAGTATTTTTTCTCTCTTTCTTTCACTTTTTAATCGGGAGAATGACAGAAAAATATTAAGAGGATCGTTTAATTTAAATTAGGTTTCAAATGTCAAACTCTAAGGATTTACAAGTTTAATTTTTAATTTTATAATTTCATTGTGATTAATTTATAACTTGTATTTTAAATTTTAATGAAAAAATAAATTTATTTACTCTACAATCATGTTAAAATTTAAAAAATAAATTATAAATTTATTATAACAAAATTGCAAAATTAATAGATAAACTTAAAAATTATTAAAATTTAATACTTAAAATTTAATTTAAATTAATTAATCCTCTTAACCTATTTGTCATTCTCCCCTTTTTAATCCCTGAATTAACAATGGAAATGGATTTTCCCTCTCTTGGGCTTACTCGGTTGTCCATTCTAGCTAAAATCTTCAAATGGTTGTAGTTATTGTCGTTTTATTTCCTTTTTGTCAAGCTCAAACCATTATTCCATGAATCATGATGCAAATTTCTCTACCATTGCGAACCCCAACTTGGTTTTCTAGACGAAGGCTGCTCGAGGAGAAGCTTTCTGATATCCATAAATGCACTAACTTGGACCACATAAAGCAAATTCATGCCCAAATTCTCAAAGCTGACCTCCACCAAGACCTCTATGTCGCACCCAAACTCATTGCAGCTCTCTCTCTCAGCCGTCAGATTGTGTCAGCCGTGAATGTCTTCAATCAAGTTCCGGAACCCAATGTTCATATGTATAACTCGTTGATTAGAGCTCACGCTCAAAATTCTCAGCCTTCACATGCCTTCGCAGTTTTCTTTGAAATGCAAAGATTTGAGGTGTGTCCTGATAATTTCACTTACCCATATCTGTTAAAAGCGTGCATTGGCCATTCTTGGTTACCCGTAATTCAAATGATTCATTCACATATAGAGAAAACTGGACTTTATTCAGATATATTTGTGCCCAATGCACTCCTTGACTCCTACTCAAAGTGTGGACCTTCTGGCCTTACTGCTGCGTTGAACTTGTTTATGTCAATGAAGGAAAAAGATATTGTTACTTGGAATTCTATTGTTGGTGGGTTGGCAAAAGCAGGTAAATTAGAAGAAGCTTGCAAATTGTTCGATGAAATGCCTGAGAGAGATACGGTAAGTTGGAATACAATGTTAGATGGACATGCAAAGAAAGGAGACATGGATAAAGCATTCAAACTGTTTGAGAAAATGCCTGAGAGGAATATTATCTCTTGGTCAACAATGGTTTGGGGTTACTGTAAGGCTGGGGATATTGATATGGCCAGGATGTTGTTTGATAAGAGTCCTGCAAAAAACATGATCCTTTGGACTACTATAATATCCGGGTATGCTGAGAAAGGGCTTGTTAGAGAGGCAAGCACCTTGTATGACCGAATGGAGGAAACGAGATTGAAACCTGATGATGGGACTGTGATAAGTATATTGGCAGCATGTGCAGAGTCTGGAATTTTGTGCTTGGGAAAGAAAATTCATGCCTCCATTAACAGGTCTAGATATAGATGCAGCATTAAAGTGTCCAATGCACTGATTGATATGTATGCAAAGTGTGGTTGTCTGGAAGCTGCATTTGATGTGTTTAACGAAATGAGAAAGAAAGATGTCGTGTCTTGGAATGCCATGCTCCAAGGATTAGCTGTGCATGGACATGGCAAGAAAGCACTTAAACTCTTCTCTAGGATGATACGTGAAGGATTTGAGCCTGATAAGTATACATTCATTGGCCTTTTATGTGCTTGCAGCCATTCAGGCCTTGTTGAGAAAGGCAGAAAGCACTTCTATTCAATGGAGAAAGTGTATGGGATTGTTCCTCAAATTGAGCACTATGGTTGCATGATGGACCTTTTAGGCCGTGGAGGGCATCTAAAGGAAGCTTTTGCACTTCTTCACAGTATGCCAATGGAACCAAATGGCAAAATATTGGGAACTCTTTTGGGGGCTTGTCGAATGCATAACGCTGCAGACCTTGCGAGAGCTGTGAGTGATCGTCTGCTCAAATTAGAACCATCTGATGTTGGGAATTACTCCCTTTTGTCAAATATTTATGCTCAAGCGGGAGATTGGAGTAGTGTTGCTGATGTGAGGGTACAAATGAAGAACACTGGAGGCCAAAAGCCATCTGGGGCTAGTTCCATTGAGTTGGAAGAAAAGGTGCATGAATTTACTGTTCTTGATCGATCTCACCCCAAATCAGATGACATATATAAGATGATTGACAGATTGGTACGGGACCTTAAATTGGTTGGATGTGCTCCAGTCGCGGAGGAATAGCCAATGGTGAATGCAAGTTGCTTATATCTAAAGACTAGGGTGACGCTTATGATGTGAGTTACAATATATTTTCAGTTCTATACAATTGGTGGTTTAACATAAAAGATCGTTGTATATATTGTGAAACATCATATTCTGTAAAAGAGCTATGTCAATTCAAACAGCTCCGAGGAAGGGAATAGAACACGTAAAACGCAGCAAAAATTAAGTCAGGCATCAGGATGGTGTGAGGGCAATGTATTGTCAATGAATATCAAGTATTTAAAATATCTATTAACTAGGTCAAAGATTTCAGTCATTAAGCATTTAAGCTAATTTGCCATTTGTCTTTAGCTAACATTGTTACTTGTTTTCCTAGGAAAGACTACTTTGCGTGGTTCGTATGAAACATAAAATCAATAGGCAAACGTTGTTTCTATTACTAAATATGATTTAAGACAAACAAATTCTTATCATTATCAAGTTGCAATCAACAAACTTTTTTCACGGAAGTCTCTCTCTCTCTCTCTTTTTTTTTTTTGAATTACAAAACCACGACAAAGCCATGCAAATTAAAGAGGACCATGTAAGATCATTAGACATGATGTCATTGTCATCCAAGGAATGTTTCATTTAAATTTCTAACGTCTAGTTTATCTTTATGTTCTTGGTGACCAAGCTAGACAACATAATTATTAGACTTTTAGTAAACATGATCCAAAATAACAATTTAATCTTTCATAATGTGATCTCAAATCCTTGTGATGGTGTTGAAAAGTGGGTGAATTTGAAAGTATTCACTTCCAATGAGATTTAGTACCTTCATTAAGTCAGAGAAAACATTTATCACCACGGGCAGTTGCACTATTAAACATTGTGCATTACATATTTAATTTTAATGTGTACTTGTTTGTTTTATATGTTGCAATAATGATTGAGGCTCTTCACCATGCATCCCGCTTATGTTTAATAACTTCTTCTCAAGTTATAGTCGAAGTTTCAACTGCTGTTATTTTTAAGAACATTGAATTTGCAGGATTATTTTTGTGCCATATCTCGTAACAATTTATTTAATGATTATTATGAATTTTCTATATGAGTTTAATCTTCTAACTTAAAATAATATTTACTTGATGGCTTCTTTGGGTCAACAATTGATGATTGCTCTTAATTGTAAAACATTTTGATTTTGTCCCAATGTTATTTTTATTAAAAATATATATTTTAAATGAACGATTATATTTTTGTTGATAAATAAAATATTTTTTATTTTTAATGTTTTATAATTTTTATTATTCAGTTTTTGTTTTGGGCCTTTCCATTTTCCCCCTCATTTTTATTCTAGTTTTCCAATCCTTACTCTTCATATCATTTTATTAAATATTTTTTAATTATAAAATTAATGAAGCACAAGGGTTGAGATAGTGGAGGAAAAAGAATGGAAAAAAAAAAAATTGGAGAGCCCCTTGTCACGGGCTGAGATTCTGGCGCAGCACACGGCGCCCGTGCGACGTCCTGGAGGACCCCATAATTCTCAGGACAAGCCTTACTACATACGGATCACACTAGTTTTGTCCTGCCATAGGTTCATCAGGGAGGCGGCACCAGCCCCCGACCGGTTGTGCACTCAGTCCGAAGACTGAGGCAGAACACCCCCAATGCCAATGTCGCCCCCTTTACCCATATTGTGCGAGGCTAACCAGCGGATCGTTCATTATCTTGGTCTTTACACGGTCACGGAGATATCATCCATGACATTCTCCCACACCCAATCTAGCACGCCCTCGTGCTAGGGGAGAACGACTCTGCCTAAGGATTGTACGTACAGTACTGCCACAAACACATCAGCTTACTGCTGAGTGGCCACCCGAGTCCTGTACTCTTCGGACCCACTCGCACCCGCGAGCCAACAGGAGTAGAGTCGACAACGGCCAGCCTTCCCGCCCAAGTCCCCACTTTTGGACCCACCTGCTCGGAGGCCTTTCTGGAGCGGTGCCGAGGTCGACCAGTCCTAATGTGGGACCCCACAGGCACACGGCAGTAAAGTACGTCCTGCTCTGATACCACTCTGTCACGGGCTGAGAGTCTGGCGCAGCACACGGTGCCTGTGCGGCGTCCTGGAGGACCCCATAATCCTCAGGACAAGCCTTAAGCACCAGCCCCCGACCAGTTGTGCACTCAGTCCAAAGACTGAGGCAGAACACCCTCAATGCCAATGTCGCCCCCTTTATCCATATTGTGCGAGGCTAACCAGCGGATCGTTCATTATCTTAATCTTTATACGATCATGGAGATATCATCCGTGACACCCTGGTTCAAACCTAACCTGTCTTAGGCTGTGTCTTAGACACCCGTCTTATGATTTAGATAAGGAAAGCCGAAAATCTACCTAGTAGCCTAGTACCAACCAAAGCAAACTCAACCCCATTGCACGCCCATGATTATTTTTCCGATGTTTCGTCGCTTTTATGCTTTAAACGGCATCATTTCCTGGTGCAGAAAATCAAAGCCAAATAGCTATCCTCGAGCACAAGTTGAAGAATAATCGAAGCTGCCGTAGCTGAACTTGGTGCGATCGATTTAACAATCTGCTAACTCCAAATGAACACTTGCTCAACTCTTCTTCGCACATCGCTCTCTTCTTTCAAATGCAGCCTTTGCTCCACTCAACCCACTCTTACTGTGCTTCCACCCGCCTTTTTCCTCACTTCAGGATTAAGGGTTGCTTCCAGATGTTACGCTTCAGCTCAAGAAGCTGCGTCAATCGAACCCATTCACATAAATGACCAACCCTTATCCCCAAATCCCATCATTGAACCCCCTGAAGACCAACCCAATGACACCGTCGAGCACCTCCTCACGCACGCCGATGACGTGGCTAGGTTGATGAAGATGGAGCGCAAGACCGTTCACGATGATGCGTCTCGGTGGTTCCCATATATTGACAGGTTCAAATGCCACAACACTTTTGTCACGAGTGGTGAGATTTTAGAGGCGGTAGGTCCGTGCATCTCCGATGTCAGGAAGGAGAGGTTCAGGAATGTGGTCCGCAACCGGAGCTATTCTGTGTGTTTGGTTGTCGAAGGGCTCAGTGACTTTGGGAATGTCTCTGCTGCATTTCGCTCTGCTGATGCACTTGGGTTCCAGTCCGTTCATGTGGTCTCTTGTGACAGCTCCAAAAGGTGTACAGACAATTGAGGTGAAAAAACCTTGTTCTGATTGTTGGATGTGTGACTTACTTGGCTTTGGATTTGTTGGTACTGCTTGCTTTGATGATTTTCGTTTTCTATTCATTCGTTCCCAGTCTTTTGTCCTGAGAAAGGAACATTGTGATCAGCATTCATTTATTAACCTTGTGAGAACTTCAAGTTTGTGTGTATTTAGATCGCTATCATAGAGCTTTTCTAGATCATTCAACATTTTGAATGTCGACTTTAATATTTGTGGAA